AAAATCACAAGAAGAGAGATTTCTGCACCCTGTGAACACTCTCTTGTCGCCTCCTTACTGCCGCCGCCATTACCCTCAGTTCGATCTCCAGTTCTTGGGAGAAATCAAGATCTGATCTTGATTCCAATCTTTTGGGAAAAGATTGGTTGGAGCTGTACTCACAAGCCATCCAGTTGATTCTTGCGAAGAGTCAAGTTCTTTTGGAAAAACATTGCTGATTCTGCTCCATCTTGCACTGCGCCATCTTCAGTGGGAGAAGATTTTGGATCCTTCCTTGGGCGTGAACACCTCCATTGGGAGATACTGTTTCTCCGTATCAAGTACATCCTCCCTCCTACTCCTTTTGGTTTAGATCTGGTTTGGTTCTTGATTCAAGATTGATCATTGAAAAACATGCTTTTCTAAAAATAGGGAATTCGATTCCCTGCAAAGATGGAAGAAATTTTTGAAATTCGCCCAATCCCTTCCACAATACTTGGGCGTCCATGTGATGGATATCCCATCCCTTCAGACAACCATGAATTCTACCAATTACCTCATGCCACAGTCTCTCTCTCTCCAATGGCCATCTCCACCGCCATTTCCCTAGTCCTCATTGTTCTTTTGATCCATTAAGCATTAACTGAGAGGAAGAAATTGATGTCTGTGACCTTGTTACAAAACTTGTTCCATCACTAAAAGTCTGGACAAATGGACAGTTGCTGATAAAATAAAAAAAAGCAATGGTTGTGAGTAGAAATGGTGATGGTAAAGATTCTATGAAAAAAATTGGAGGAGAATAAACAATGATTAGCAATAAATCTATCAAAAAAAAACAAGAATTAATAAGGATTAGAAATAAATCTATCAAAAAAAAACAAGGATTAACAATAAGAAACTTAAAGGTGAACTGTAATGCCATGAAATCCACTATATCTTATGAATTTCAATGTGTTTCTACTTAAATCTTAATATAAGAAAGGCTTCAATGGTACTTGAAACTCTGCAACATGATTAGTTATCTGATCCAATTATTTCAGACTTTGGTGGCCAAGATACATAGACAAATTGAACTTGGATGGTGAAAGTTGGATCCATTTAACAATTTTATCGAATACAGATATGCCTTTCACAAAAAAAATACAGATAACTATTTGATCTGATTAAGATCTGAGTCTGACTAAAATTTGATATTAATATATACATTAGATAGTGGAATTCTCTATTTACCAAAATATCTTAGGATACTATCTGTATTTCTATTGATATACATATGGTTTATATGGATTTATTTACAGCCAGGCTTTTCTACCAGTTTATATAGACTTATGTTTACATGTACAAGTTATCTGGTTCTTTTTTAAGGATTTTTCTTAGATTTTTGTGATTTTGAGTGTTTTTAATTTTTGTTGAAATTTAATTGGAGTATATTTTTAATCAAATCAAACTTGGATGGAGGTAGATCTGAATCAGTCAGGTTGCCCCAACTGTATGCATGCTTACAATTGTAGGTTTTAGGCACTGGGCAGATCAATCCTTACCAGAAAAAGCCATTGCAAAGTTAGATAAAATGAAGAGAATATGAGAAAAGAGCAAAGAGCAAAGAGGAAGATTTGATAGGGTTTATTGAAGAAATAACTTCCATTCCCTTCCTGCATATTATTAACTGATTGATGCACTATTTAGATGTCCGACTTCAGCCTTGCTCTGTCTCTTGCTGCCATTTATGTACCACCTAGATCCATTCTTCTACTACTGCTTCCACTATGTTCCATCATGCCTTCATCAATGTTTTGCTACTAAAAAGCTATATTATTTGTATATGTGGATTGTCTAAATTCTTATTATCTTTCAGACCATTATATAACTGTATCATCTCCCCTCCCCTGAAGTTTTGCAAATAATTTCAATGTTAATAAGTTTCTGCCGTTGAGAAAATGAAAGAATGATACAGTAATATGATATTGCAGGTGAAAGGAGCTTCTTTGCAAATAAGATCAAGGCCCTTAACCGTTTGAAGGCCAAGCTTCTTGTGACTGCACTGGAACAAGGAGTCACCAATGTAAAGAATATCAAGAGAGATGCAATTGCTAATATGTTGCATCAGGAGATCCGGAGATATATTTTTCATCCATATAAGTTGGTAAAAGATGTTAAAACTGGTATTGAATTGCCTGACTTGAATTCTGTTCTGGATGGTAATATTGAACCTTTTATTAGTGCCCACATCAGTGTTAAGACTGGCAAGTAGTTCAGTCTGAAATGAATTATTATTGGCCTTAGAAACAAGCATTGCTCAGTTATATTTTCTTTGATTTTTTTTTTTAATTCAAACCAACATACTTCGGTTCTCTATTCATTGTTCCTTCAAGGCACTAGGATATTTAAGTCTGCTTTAGATCATTATCTGTAGGTTATAATTAGGACCAGCTGCTTCTCTACTGTTATCATCCATGTTTGATCCAAGGTCATTCTCTCTCTCTCTCTATCTCTCTCTCTCCCCCCCTTAAGATACACAAGCTATTTATTTTTCAACTATCCTTCTTTAGTTTATAGATACAGAAACTACAATCTTATCAGATTCCAGTCTGTCTTCACATGTGTACCAACTTCCATAGGGGACCATGTAAAGTTAAACACTTTGGATTCTTTACAAACTAAAAGACCCAAMCTTTTCTTGTCCCCTAACTGGTGTTGTCTTTGCAAAGTTGTGGAGAGAGCTGTTATCATTTGTTTGTCTCCTGTCCTGTGGCTGAAAGCTTGTGGGGTAAGATGCTTGCACTTTTTGGGTGTAGGTGGTCAGCTCCTACACAGGTCAGTAGCCTTTTTGACCCATCTTTCTTCAACTGGTCTAAGCGGAGGGATGGATTATTGTGGAGTTGTGTTAAGGGCTGCACTGATTTGGACCATTTGGGAAGAAGAAATTCTAGAATTTTCAATGACAATGAAAGAAATCTAGACTCTTTGGGACTGCATCAAAACAAGGGCTATACATTGGGTCAAAACCTTGAAGCAGTTTTCCCCATTCTCCTTTGATGATATATGGAGGAATTGAGAGGCAAGTGGCACTTTCCTCACACACTAAAGCCAATCATAATCCAGAATGGGCTCCTCCAGAAGGATTCCTAAAACTAACTTTGATGGCAGCAGTCTTGGCAACCCAGGACCTTCAGGTATAGGGGATGTTATAAGGGATGGAGGGGGGAATATATGTGCATTGTTCTCAGGCCTGATTTTACCAGGGGATTCCATCTTTCCCCCAAGCAGTTCTGCAGGGGGTACAGCTCTCTAAACAGTTGAATGTGGACAGATTGATAGTTGAAGAGAATTCCAAGTTGGTAATTGGGTGGCAAAAAGGTCAAGACTTGTTTGGACATACAAGGAAGCTGCAAAGAAGTTCAAATGGCTATTCTCTAATATGATTGTAAGAATTCAGTGGCAAAGGTGGTCAGCTAACGGTTTATCAGATTCTTTAGCTAAGCAAGGGGTTTCTAGGAAATCTATATTTTGGGGTCAACTGTAAGCTGAATTGTACTTGAGGCTGCATCTTGCGTCTCCTTTGGGTTGCCATACTGTACACATTTTAGTCAATCCCTCAACATACCCCTTCCATGCAAGTCTTTGACTTTCACCCAGACATATTACAGTGTCRTTTTAGTGTTTCTTTTCCAATAATGCATTTCCTATAATACCTCATACTTGTAATCTGAATCAGGTCTGAGCTTGGGCAATTATGCATTCATATCTCCAATCATGTACCCAATAATTAAAAGGTCAATCTTCACTTTTTCCCAACTTATAAATTTTTATTTATTTAGTGGTTTTATTTTTCAAACCCTTTCTATTGTGATAGATTTCCCCATCTATTTGATGCTACAAACAGAAAAAAAGAAAATTATGAGGTGGGAGAATCTGAAAAATTCACCATAAAGGCTTAATACCATGGGAGAAAGAGGAAGGTTGAAGTGGCAGGTTCTACTTGGATCTATTAATACCCAAGGAACTAATATTTTTTATTCATGTCAAAGAAAAAGAAAAAGTATTTCCATAGGAGGTCGCACCAGTCCAATAGTTGTAATGCATGCAATGCTGCAGGTGTACTTGGGGTGGATTCAAGTTGAGTCGAGTCGAATATCTAGCTATTTGAGCTTGGCTTATCAATACACTGAGGCTCGAGCTTGATTTGAGCAAGATATTGGAGCTTGAATTTGGCTTGAGTCAAAATCTTGTAGGTTCAAGCTTGGTTCGGCTCAACTCAAGCTTGACTGTGAGCCAAACATTTTATAGAAATAAAAACGTATGCATGCATGTACGCATATATACATGTATATATGTAAAAGTGTGATTAGGTTTGTGAAACTGTTTGAAGCTCGATTTAGGCCAGGCCGAATTAAGCTTTTCACAAGCCGAACTCAAATAGTTACTAAAAAGCTTGGCTTGTGAAATGTTAATCAAAAGGTTGAGCATGGTGACATGCAAAATTTTAGAAATATGATGGAACATGTAGCAAGGTCCAAACTGGATTCACTATACCCTGCAAAGACTTTCACATGAGATAGCCACCTTCATGWTTTTGACAAACAACTCATAATATATGACTAAATATGTAGATAATAGTGAAAATACGTAGATATATTAAATTCCCTGGCACCCTATCAGCTGACAGCTACTGCAGCCGCTGTCCTGATCGTTACAGTTGTGCTATTGTTATTTTCTGGGTATCAGTAGGGCTGCAAATGATCCAATCGGATTCATTGGATTTATGTCAGATTTGAATGAACTTGGGTTGCAATGGGATATTAAATAGTATAAAGAAATAAAACTAAAAATGATCAAAATATTATATAGTATTAATAAAATAAATTAAAAATAGAAGACTACTAATAACTCCGGTTGGAAGAAGTGATTTATTATAAGGGAAAGGGGTTAGAAGAGTAGACAAAAAAAGGATATGAATAAATGTAGTACGAAATGATTTAAACGTTAATAATTTAATAGTATATATAATTATAAATAGGATTGATTGGCAAAAGAAGCCCACAACATGACAATAATTTTTTCTTATACAAATGGAATCGTAGGATAATAAGACTAATCATCCAAAGAAGCCCACCAATCATGAACCGAACTGTTATTCTCGGAGAAGCCAGAATAGTATTATCTCTCGTTGTGAGCCAAATTTGTTTAGTGAAATGGCATTTTAAAAATATATGAACAGAATCCTCCTCTTCACCATAAAAATCACAACAGCCATCAATATCAAAATCTCTTCTCCTAAGAGCTATCTTGGAAGGGAGTTTATTATTAAACAAGATATATAAAAAGACCTTGATTTTGGGAGYAATTTTTAGATTTCAGATTTTATTGATTTTCTTTATCACTCTAGTAGGGATACTATGTGTCCAGCTGGCCTCATTGTAGGTCGACTCGACAGAGAAGTCTCCTTTTGGGTTTGGTTTCCAAATTTTACTATCCTCATGATCACCCAACGGAATTTAAATATTTCTATTTTTTT